ATCCCCAAAAGCCTCCAGTTTTTGAAGGGATCAAGTGTTTTGATAAAAAGACTACTGTGAAAAGCAGCAGCATTCACCCTCTAGCAAAGGCCCTTAACTTTTGAGCCTTTCTTGTATTTTTAGAGTATGCTTTAAAGAGGATGTATTATCCCACTGCTCACAGACAACTGAGAAAAAGATCCATGTAGCATTTCATAGCACTGTAACTTTTGTTGAATTTCTGAATATGGTATTTGAACTGATCACAAAAAAACTTCTAATAAACTCTTCCCACAGAAACTGAAGCAGAAGAATCAGCAGCTGAAGCAGATCATGGATCAGTTACGGAATCTTATTTGGGACATAAATGCCATGCTGGCAATGCGGAACTGAACAAGGAAAATCAAGCTTTGTAATTGGAGAAAGATAAAGATTTGTTGGGATATACTTATGTTACTTCTTAGACAGAAACTGTTTTCTCACAACCATATTGCAGTAACGTTTGAAAGGTCTTCAGGAATAATTTTTTTTTTTTTTTGTAATATCTTAAAATGATGTTGGTGGTGTTGTTTGGAAAAGATTCATCCTACAGGTTTTACCTGAGTGATTTACTTAGGCTGAGTTTACAGCCTAAGTAACATACAATAATAATTTGGATTGCTATGCAAATGGGAATTTTTCTAATTAAGTGTTTCTGGATTATTTTAATAATACAATTAACACTCTTTTAAAAATATGTATTTTCATACCATTCTGCAGTGCAGACCACCTCTACAGACAGGAAAGCTGCAATACAGAAAAGTCACTCTAGTAAGCTGCAAGACCAAAATAAGTGATCAGATATTGCAATGCAATGTGTTTCCCCATTGTAGAAACATATACTACAGGCTGCTGTGCCATATAAGTTTATCTCAGTCTGTTTACTATCAATGGATATACGTTAGATTGGAGCAAAATTCAAAAGCTACATAAAATTACCCCTATATCTATCCTTTTGGATATAATTCAGTCTTTCTAAGTGAAGACTACATACGTACACAACGCTAACTTCTGTAACTGTGTTATGATTTCTTGAGTACTGCTCCAGCAATTTTATGGTGTAGTATTCCTGTAGCATCATGGATGGCTGGAATATTTTGGTTTTGTTTACCAGAATGCACTGAATAAAACCCTCATTAACCTTTTCCCTGTGACTGCCAGTCCTAGAGAACTTTGGAGTATATCAGCAGTTCATTATTTTGAATTAATCATCAACCTTCATCTCTTTTGTTCTGGTATTCTTCACAATTTTCACTAGCCCTGAAAATAGTCTTAGCAATTTTTGTTATCCACAGATGCTGCCAGTGGACTATGTGTCTCTTATTCCAGATGAAAGAATATGTACTTTCAGTACAAATCTGTAGGGCAGTCTACTATTAATATTTGTCAAGTTGAAGTCTGACCATCCTCAGGATTTGCTTCCTGTGTGTTACTTTTAATTCTCATTCCATGCCCTGTCAGATGCTCTAATAATTTGGTGGGAAAGATTTGCACAGAACCTTTGAAGAGGCCAGCTAAATGGTATCATTTTAAAAGATATCATCTTTATAAGATAGGATTTTGATACAGACACTTATTGATTTGAGATACATGGGTGTAGAACAACAAACTAGCATAACATTTTTATCACTCTTTGTTTTTTAATGATTTCAACCCATTTGTCTACTTCTTGAGGTAAAAATCACTGGCATGAATAGATCTGATCACACCTGATTATCAATACATGACTTTTCCCTTAAATTAAAAAAGGCAACTGTATTGTATTTTCTTCTTCTGAAGGCTTTAAATCTTAAAACAGATGAATGGTTGCCCAGTTTTATAACTGCAAATAAACAGAGTTAGAAAACGTTCATTTTGTTTAGTTAACCTAGTGTTGAAAGTGATATCAAACTATGACGACACCCAGGTGTGAGTAGATGTCAAAACATCTTATAAATGAGGTTGTTCTCTTCTCCCAAATTACTCATGGAGTGGATAGCTTACTCAGTGGCAAAGCTAGCAGCTGAACTGCTACAGCAGACTCGTTGGTCTCAAATAATGGGTGACTTCTGCAGCTGTGAGAGACCTAACTGTTTTATATAGAAAGCTTTTGAAAAGGAGGGGAGGATTGCAAGTAGAGATGTTATTTTGTCGTTTAAAACACAGGGGCTTTTTGTATTTGCACGGTGTACTGGCAGCTTTCTGTTTGGTATATGCATAAATGTGCATCCAGCCTGGAAGGGGTATTTGAAATGGATTTCAAAATTACACCAACATCTTAATTGTGAGTGTAAAATTCCCAATACTAGATTAATCTAGACTTGCCCTACTGCCTATACGCTATGTATTTTTACTAAATATCTTCAAAGTTTGTTTTATTGCATATAAGCAGTACAGAAGTAACCTAAAATTTGGATAAAAGTGCAAGTATTGCAAGTAGATGTCTGGCTGATACAATATTCAGCTTACTCTCTGCAGCTCCTAGCAGTAGCCAAGGTTTATGCTACAATTTTTCATCTGGGAGAGAGGAGAAAACACTTTAAACCCCTACCAGAATAGATAGTGCAGTAGCTAAATTTCAAAGTGCAGAAATCGACAGAATTGTAAATTATCACGGTAAATACCATCAAAACAGGAACTTTGCAAGATGCTGGACCAAAACCATACACTTTGACTTACACAGATGAAGGTGAGGGTAGTGAGCATAATTCATAGGCTACCAGAACCATGAATAAGTGTAGGATTTGGCCAAGAAGATGACAGTTTTAAGAAAAGTGGCAATTCCTCAGCTGTGAAACATTTTAAAAGAAATTACTGGGCATCAACACATACTGAAATTTAATATTTTAGTTAAGCTAACTGATCTTCAACTGCTGGTTAATGAAATGGCACCAAATGAAGTATTTACAAATATCATCAAAGCAATACCAACACAGATGTGTCAATATTTTGTGTATATATCATTTACTATTTCTGTATTTCTGATTAGGCAGAAGCTGGATAAACATACAGACAGTTCCAGGAGTAGATACCAGAACCTAGGTTGGTTCTATTTTTGGAATATAAAAATATTTGTAGGGGTTGGGTTCTTAAGGCTTTATTTTGCCCGGAAAGGACTTGGGGACAGTAGAGTGAGGATGATGAATACTTTGTAGCATGTTTGTGGGAGCACCCCAAGTTAACACACATTCTCAAAATGAAACCACTAGTCCAGCACTTGTAGACAATATCACAGTGTTGAACGTTCAGCTGTGCCACAACACAGAAGATGCCTGCTAGGCAGTGTGCAAAGGTCCAGGTTTTTTCTTACATAAGATGTGAGCGCAGAACAAATTTATTCCATGTTCAGGAAAGATGTAAGGATTTTACCTTTCTCTTGTCTTCCTTAGAGGCAGCAAGGCCACATCCAGAGTGCTGTAGTAAAACAAAACTGCTTTTGTTGTCCTGTAGAAAAAAAAACTTGCTCTGATTATAGTATTTCTTACCAATGGGGAAACTGGAACTTGTGCATAAGTGCTGCTTAAATTAATCACTGTAAAGAATGTACTTAGGTGGAGTAGGACAAAGATTCTGCTCTCGTAGGAACCAAGATTTCAGAAGTGTGCCAGATGGCTACAGAAGCCAAGAAGACTACAGCTGAAGGATGGCTGACAAGTGCTGTGGAAAACAGTAAGCTCCATATAGAGAACTGAAGATCTGAAGTTAAAAAAAAAAATTTTAAAAAATGCAGTGACACCCAAGGACACTGAATCAACTGGGGTTTACAGAGGATTAATTAGTTTAATTACTTTGTGCTAACAAAGGAAATGGGGAATTATAAAGGAATTTACAAATATATCAGTGCAGAAAATGTTTGGGGAAGAAAGTAGTTTGCTCAGTCTCCTTATTTAACAGTAATGAAGACTGATACGGCAGAACATCGGAGAAAGGTTTTTGCTGAGTTGGAAGGTGATATGTAAAAATAAACTGGCTGATACTTACTGCAGGATATTAGTGAAAGTGACAAAAAATATGTACCAAAGGCAGTTTTTAAGTAACTGGAATGTAAGAGGTAAATAAATGCAATATAGTGATGCTTTTGTCTTGTTCAGTCTAACTTCTATGTAAATTTTAAAGATTTTTTTCTTACTCACATTGCACACAGGACACGTTCTTGCATCTGTTACTACACCACACAACAAACAACACCACTCAAAGCTGAGAACAGCGCCTGTGTTGATGGGAGTGTAGTTAGAAGCAGAAGAGCAGGTTTACAGCCCTTGTCACCGGACTAGGCCCAGTAAAGAGCACAGGTATATTTGAGGCAACTAAGCAGAGACATTTTCATGTATCCACTTCACTCCAGGAGCATCTCAGCTCATTGTTTGCCTTCGTGTTCCGCTTGCAAGCTACCAAACTGCTTAGAGTTCTGCATCTGCACATGTTCCCAGGAGCTGATGATATCTGATAATGACTGCTGAGGTTATACAAACTGTGACTTTTGTTACAGTTACTACTATAACTGATATGGTAGGCCCTCTCTTTGGCCCCTCAAACGCTGACTTTCCCTTCTCACCTGACCACCCCTACTACAAAGCTGCAGAGCAATGTTCTGGAGTAGAGCTGAAAGTGAGTGGCTGAAAGGAATGAATTACATTCACACCCATGATAAAATCCTTTCCTAGGTCTGTGTGTGCCTTCTCATCAAATCAAATAAATTCAGATTTGCTAAACAGGAAAAAATACATGTGATTTTAAAGTTATCTGATAGCAACAGATAGCAATGCAGTTGTTTTTATAGCCATGTAGAGGTTTTAGTAGTATTTACAGTCCTAGAACAGAGGGAAAGTGGATCATGAAGACAATCCATTACTGAAATATGTTGCTGAAGTGGGAAGACTTTCAAATAATACAAAGAAAATATAAAGAAATACAAAAACAGCAATTGAAACTTAGGTGAGCACAAACTGGCCATAAAATAGAGACAGGAAAGAGGGTTTGGAAAACACATTTTTAACCTGCATTGAAGAGATAATTGGGATGCAGTGAGCGAAAAAAAACACTGCAGTTTTGGGGTGCACAGCCAAATATTGCATGGGAGGGACTGTATGTCTTCTGCCCTATCAATATCACTTGCCCAATATAGAATGATATTATCGTTAACAGGCAGACCAGCAGCCAGAGTCCTCCCTCCACTCCCACATCACACACCCGAATCCAAAGTGTCAGACAGCCAGAGGGAGGAACAAGACAATGTACTAACTGCAAAGGATGTGAAGAAGGGAGCAAGCTGGCCAAGGAACCATGCCATCAGAGATGGAATCAGCCAAACTGTGAGTCCAATTATGTAGAAGCTCCCCAGATAGAAATTCATAATCTTGCCCCCCCATCCTGGG